CATCTCTCTCGGTTTGCAGGCAAGATGGTGTGAAATTTTAGTATGTTTAAAATTACGCAAAAATACGTTTTTTTTAAACGTCTAAATTCTTTGTTGCACTGACATTATATTGTCCCTGTGGTCTAATAGTACTCATTATACTGCCCCTGTGACCTAACAGTAGACATTACTCCTGTGGTCTAATAGTACTCATTATACTGCCCCTGTGACCTAACAGGAGACATTACTCCTGTGGTCTAATAGTACTCATTATACTGCCCCTGTGACCTAACAGGAGACATTACTCCTGTGGTCTAATAGTACTCATTATACTGCCCCTGTGACCTAACAGTAGACATTACTCCTGTGGTCTAATAGTACTCATTATACTGCCCCTGTGACCTAACAGTAGACATTATATTCCCCTTGTGAGCTAATGGTAGACATTATACTACCCCTGTGGCCTATTTGGGCATAAATCCTGGCTCTACCTGTGTCTGGAGGATGAGGGCTGCAGACTTGACATCGGGATAGTTTGCTGGTAGACGGATGCTGCTTTTATGGGGCGATGAACCTGTGACATCCAACTTACTTCATCTCTGAGCACAACACAACTACTGTAAACACCGCTGGCACCAGATCTACCTTGTATTCTTGATATAATATTATACCGACAAGTTGATGAATAAGATATATGCAACACTTGGGTATATTGACGAAATGTTTAGCTTGTTTAGCAGGCTCCTTCAGTTGAATAAGGCAAATATAACACTGGAGACAGTGTTTACTGTCTCCAGTGTTATTTTCACTTTCATGAATCGCGAAATCATAATAACACGATTGTAAATAATCATAAAACGTGAAGGGCTGGAACCCTTGGTGCGTCCTAAAACTCTCAGCAGCAGGCTGAACTCTTCTCCAGGTTGAGGGACTGACCACCTTGTTCCAGACCATGGTGCTGAACTCTTCTCCAGGCTGAGGGACTGACCACCTTGTTCCAGACCATGGTGCTGAACTCTTCTCCAGGTTGAGGGACTGACCATCTTGTTCCAGACCATGGTGCTGAACTCTTCTCCAGGCTGAGGGACTGACCACCTTGTTCCAGACCATGGTGCTGAACTCTTCTTCAGGTTGAGGGACTGACCTTGTTCCAGACCATGGTGCTGAACTCTTCTTCAGGTTGAGGGACTGACCTTGTTCCAGACCATGGTGGTGAACTCTTCTCCAGGCTGAGGGACTGACCACCTTGTTCCAGACCATGGTGCTGAACTCTTCTTCAGGTTGAGGGACTGACCTTGTTCCAGACCATGGTGCTGAACTCTTCTCCAGGCTGAGGGACTGACCACCTTGTTCCAGACCATGGTGCTGAACTCTTCTCCAGGTTGAGGGACTGACCACCTTGTTCCAGACCATGGTGCTGAACTCTTCTCCAGGCTGAGGGACTGACCACCTTGTTCCAGACCATGGTGCTGAACTCTTCTTCAGGTTGAGGGACTGACCTTGTTCCAGACCATGGTGCTGAACTCTTCTTCAGGTTGAGGGACTGACCTTGTTCCAGACCATGGTGGTGAACTCTTCTCCAGGCTGAGGGACTGACCACCTTGTTCCAGACCATGGTGCTGAACTCTTCTTCAGGTTGAGGGACTGACCTTGTTCCAGACCATGGTGCTGAACTCTTCTCCAGGTTGAGGGACTGACCACCTTGTTCCAGACCATGGTGCTGAACTCTTCTCCAGGTTGAGGGACTGACCACCTTGTTCCAGACCATGGTGCTGAACTCTTCTCCAGGCTGAGGGACTGACCACCTTGTTCCAGACCATGGTGCTGAACTCTTCTCCAGGCTGAGGGACTGATCACCTTGTTCCAGACCATGGTGCTGAACTCTTCTATAGACTGAGGGACTGACCACCTTGTTCCAGACCATGGTGCTGAACTCTTCTCCAGGCTGAGGGACTGACCACCTTGTTCCAGACCATGGTGCTGAACTCTTCTCCAGGCTGAGGGACTGACCACCTTGTTCCAGACCATGGTGCTGAACTCTTCTCCAGGTTGAGGGACTGACCACCTTGTTCCAGACCATGGTGCTGAACTCTTCTCCAGGCTGAGGGACTGATCACCTTGTTCCAGACCATGGTGCTGAACTCTTCTCCAGACTGAGGGACTGACCACCTTGTTCCAGACCATGGTGCTGAACTCTTCTCCAGGCTGAGGGACTGACCACCTTGTTCCAGACCATGGTGCTGAACTCTTCTCCAGGTTGAGGGACTGACCACCTTGTTCCAGACCATGGTGCTGAACTCTTCTCCAGGCTGAGGGACTGACCACCTTGTTCCAGACCATGGTGCTGAACTCTTCTCCAGGCTGAGGGACTGATCACCTTGTTCCAGACCATGGTGCTGAACTCTTCTCCAGGCTGAGGGACTGACCTTGTTCCAGACCATGGTGCTGAACTCTTCTCCAGGCTGAGGGACTGACCACCTTGTTCCAGACCATGGTGCTGAACTCTTCTCCAGGCTGAGGGACTGACCACCTTGTTCCAGACCATGGTGCTGAACTCTTCTCCAGGCTGAGAGACTGACCACTTTGTTCCAAACCATGGTGCTGAACTCTTCTTCAGGTTGAGGGACTGACCACTTTGTTCCAGACCATGGTGCTGAACTCTTCTTCAGGTTGAGGGACTGACCACTTTGTTCCAGACCATGGTGCTGAACTCTTCTTCAGGTTGAGGGACTGACCACTTTGTTCCAGACCATGGTGCTGAACTCTTCTTCAGGTTGAGAGACTGACCACCTTGTTCCAGACCATGGTGCTGAACTCTTCTTCAGGTTGAGAGACTGACCACCTTGTTCCAGACCATGGTGCTGAACTCTTCTTCAGGTTGAGAGACTGACCACCTTGTTCCAGATCATGGTGCTGAACTCTTCTCCAGGCTGAGAGACTGACCACCTTGTTCCAGACCATGGTGCTGAACTCTTCTTCAGGTTGAGGGACTGACCACCTTGTTCCAGACCATGGTGCTGAACTCTTCAGGTTGAGGGACTGACCACCTTGTTCCAGACCATGATGCTGAACTCTTCTTGAGGTTGAGGGACTGACCACCTTGTTCCAGACCATGGTGCTGAACTCTTCTTCAGGTTGAGGGACTGACCACCTTGTTCCAGACCATGGTGCTGAACTCTTCTCCAGGTTGAGGGACTGACCACCTTGTTCCAGACCATGGTGCTGAACTCTTCTTCAGGTTGAGGGACTGACCACCTTGTTCCAGACCATGGTGCTGAACTCTTCTTCAGGTTGAGGGACTGACCACCTTGTTCCAGACCATGGTGCTGAACTCTTCTCCAGGCTTAGGGACTGACCACCTTGTTCCAGACCATGGTGCTGAACTCTTCTCCAGACTGAGGGACTGACCACCTTGTTCCAGACCATGGTGCTGAACTCTTCTACAGGCAGAGGGACTGACCACCTTGTTCCAGACCATGGTGCTGAACTCTTCTCCAGGCTGAGGGACTGACCACCTTGTTCCAGACCATGGTGGTGAACTCTTCTCCAGGTTGAGGGACTGACCTTGTTCCAGACCATGGTGGTGAACTCTTCTCCAGGCAGAGGGACTGACCACCTTGTTCCAGACCATGGTGCTGAACTCTTCTCCAGGTTGAGGGACTGACCACCTTGTTCCAGACCATGGTGGTGAACTCTTCTCCAGGTTGAGGGACTGACCTTGTTCCAGACCATGGTGGTGAACTCTTCTCCAGGCTGAGGGACTGACCACCTTGTTCTAGACCATGGTGGTGAACTCTTCTCCAGGCTGAGGGACTGACCACCTTGTTCCAGACCATGGTGCTGAACTCTTCTCCAGGTTGAGGGACTGACCACCTTGTTCCAGACCATGGTGCTGAACTCTTCTCCAGGCTGAGGGACTGATCACCTTGTTCCAGACCATGGTGGTGAACTCTTCTTCAGGTTGAGGGACTGACCACCTTGTTCCAGACCATGATGCTGAACTCTTCTCCAGGCTGAGGGACTGACCACCTTGTTCCAGACCATGGTGGTGAACTCTTCTCCAGGTTGAGGGACTGGCCACCTTGTTCCAGACCATGGTGCTGAACTCTTCTCCAGGCTGAGGGACTGACCACCTTGTTCCAGACCATGGTGCTGAACTCTTCTCCAGGCTGAGGGACTGACCACCTTGTTCCAGACCATGGTGCTAAACTCTTCTCCAGGCTGAGGGACTGACCACCTTGTTCCAGACCATGGTGCTGAACTCTTCTCCAGGCTGAGGGACTGACCACCTTGTTCCAGACCATGGTGCTGAACTCTTCTCCAGGCTGAGGGACTGATCACCTTGTTCCAGACCATGGTGCTGAACTCTTCTCCAGGCTGAGGGACTGACCACCTTGTTCCAGACCATGGAGCTGAACTCTTCTCCAGGTTGAGGGACTGACCACCTTGTTCCAGACCATGGTGCTCAACTCTTCTCCAGGCTGAGGGACTGGCCACCTCAAATATTATTTTTCCAGGTTGACGGACTGATTACATCTTTACCTCACTACTACATCTGCTGCCTCTGTATTTAACTGAAGGAGCCTACTGTGTAGGCGAAATATGCATCTTGCTCACCAACTTGTCAGTATTCCATACCATTTTCAAGATATCTTAGCCAGTACTTGTGAACTAATAGAGAAACTAAGAAAGGTGACAGTGGTACTCTACCATGTAGAAAATCTTGTCGTGTTAGAGCCAGAGAAACTACGAAAGGTGACAGTGGTACTCTACCATGTAGAAAATCTTGTGTTAGAGCCAGAGAAACTACGAAAGGTGACAGTGGTACTCTACCATGTAGAAAATCTTGTCGTGTCAGAGCCAGAGAAACTAAGAAAGGTGACAGTGGTACTCTACCATGTAGAAAATCTTGTCGTGTCAGAGCCAGAGAAACTAAGAAAGGTGACAGTGGTACTCTACCATGTAGAAAATCTTGTCGTGTTAGAGCCAGAGAAACTAAGAGAGGTGACAGTGGTACTCACTTCACCATGTAGAGAATCTTGTTGTCATGGAAGAGCCAGACGTAATGATTGGGGATGGTCATCGTTTGGAAAGTCACTTGTTTGGCGTTCTTGAAGAAGCTGTCAGGCCTCCAGAGATGCTTCAGCCAGTCCAAGTCCAGCAATCTATGAGGGAAGAATTAGGTTTATAGAATATTGATTACTTGTAGGTCATTACGACTCCCTGTAGCCTAATATCAGGACTACTTTCAGTCTTTAGCATTCAAAGGTACTGCTAGGTTCTGTCACAAACTGCTTTAAAAAAAAAAACAATCTTAAATTACCTCTAGGAAATCATTCGACTAGATTCCCAGTTAAGGAATTCCAGTCAATGTGACTAAAATTAAAGTCTGGAATTACGTGCCTTTCCAGCCTCAACAATTTCCTATCAAAGTAGTCTCAGATCTGGAAGGTTTAATGACCCAATTAAGTTAGTTAGCTTAATATGTTTATTATGTACCCCATACCCATCCTGTGGGCGGTAGTCAAGAGATTACAAAGGTACATAATGGGCCCAGAGACTGTACCTCAACAGTTTTGATAGCTGAGCAAGTTACAAAGGTGACAAGGGATATTGTCTGACCAAAGGAACTCCTCAGGGAAGTGAGATGAAATAGGTGCCCCTGTGGCCTGGCAGGTGCCCCTGTGGCCTGGCAGGTGCCCCTGTGGCCTGGCAGGTGCCCCTGTGGCCTGGCAGGTGCCCGTGTGGCCTGGCAGGTGTCCGTGTGGCCTGGCAGGTGTCCGTGTGGCCTGGCAGGTGCCCCTGTGGCCTGGCAGGTGCCCCTGTGGCCTGGCAGGTGCCCCTGTGGCCTGGCAGGTGCCCCTGTGGCCTGGCAGGTGCCCGTGTGGCCTGGCAGGTGCCCGTGTGGCCTGGCAGGTGCCCCTGTGGCCTGGCAGGTGCCCCTGTGGCTGAAGCTCTCGCTTCACACACGGAGGGCCCGGGTTCGATTCCCGGAGGGGTGGAAACATTTCGACGTGTTTCCTTGCGCCTGTTGTCCTGTGCACCTAGCAGCAAACAGGTACCTGGGTGTTAGTCGACTGGTGTGGGTGGCATCCTGGGGGACAAGACTGAAGGACCACAATGGAAATAAGTCAGACAGTCCTCGATGACGCACTGACTTTCTTGGGTTATCCCGGACGGTTAACCCTCCAGCGTTAAAAATCCGAAAAAAATCTTAACCCTTAACATGAAGCTGCGTACTGATCTGATCTGGAGTTCCGGGGGTCACCGCCCCCGTGATGCATATGAGTTAGGTAAAAACTCACAGGAGTAAAGAGGTTTAAGAGACGGCCAGTTTTTACCTATACTGGAATCACCACTAGATTCTTCTAGTATCTCTATGTTCAAACGTTAAAGGTTCTCAGAAACAGAACTGTAAGTAAATACCCTGTATACCCACTATATACCCACTATATACCCTGTATACACACTATATATACGTACGTTTGTAGATGAATGGTTCAGAGAACCGACATGTTGATAAATTAGACACATGTGCAACTCTTGGGTATCTTTATTGAGGAAACGTTTCGCCACACAGTGGCTTCATCAGTCCATACGTAGGAGAAACTTGAAGAACAGGAGGAGAATGAGGTAATCAGTCCCTCAACCTTAGGAATTCTTCTCTTGCCTAATTCTTGTGCACGACCTACTTCCACATTGGACAAATGTGACACCAGACCTATGACTGCTGCACCTCTCCTGCCATACGGTTTATAAGCTCCTTCTCCGCTGATGTGCCGTATTCTATTCAAGATTGATGGACTGAACACATCGACTCAAGGTTGAGGGACTGATTACCTCATTCTCCTCCTGTTCTTCAAGATTCTCCTACGTATGTACTGATGAAGCCGCTGTGTGGCGAAACGTTCCCTCAATAAAGATACCCAAGAGTTGCACATGTGTCTAATTTATCATATACGTACGTACACGAAGATATGTATGTATATACCAGGTTTACCTGGAGTTTACCTGGAGAGAGTTTCGGGGGTCAACGCCCCCGCGGCCCGGTCTGTGACCAGGCCTCCTGGTGGATCAGAGCCTGATCAACCAGGCTGTTGCTGCTGGCTGCACGCAAACCAACGTACGAGCCACAGCCCGGCTCATCAGGAACTGCCAGGTAAACTATGGCTACACAAATCTATCCTTGATGTTGGTGAGGGGCTCTTGATTTAGGGAATTGGATCTGTGCTTCAGTTCCCCGAATTAAGCCTGAATGCCTTCCACATTCCCCCCCCCCCCAGGAGCTGTATAATCCTCCGGGTTTAGCGCTGCCCCCTTGAATATAATAATAATATACGTTGAAGAGAGAATTATTAATGCTGGTAAAAGTCTTTTAATCTGGGGAATTTGATCTCTTCCTCGGATCAAACTTTGATTGCCTCTGGTTCCTCAGGCACTGCATGACCCGTAAGGGTTTAGTCTTTCTGTGTGGGAGAAGTGGATATTTTTGTGTACAGTGTTTAATGTGGGTGGAGGTGGGAGTGCTTATTATTGGGGGGGGGGTTGAGGTGGTAGTTGTTGTGGCAGTTGTGTTGGTGGTTGTGGTAGTGCTAGTGGTAGTGTTGGTGGTTGTGGTAGTGCTAGTGGTAGTGTTGGTGGTTGTGTTGGTGGTAGTGTTGGTGGTTGTGTTGGTGGTTGTGTTGGTGGTTGTGTTGGTGGTTGTGGTAGTGCTAGTGGTAGTGTTGGTGGTAGTGTTGGTGGTAGTTGTTGTGGCAGTTGTGTTGGTGGTTGTGGTAGTGTTGGTGGTAGTGTTGGTGGTTGTGGTAGTGCTAGTGGTAGTGTTGGTGGTTGTGGTAGTGCTGGTGGCAGTGTTGGTGGTAGTGTTGGTGGTTGTGGTAGTGCTAGTGGTAATGTTGGTGGTTGTGGTAGTGTTGGTGGTAGTGTTGGTGGTAGTGTTGGTAGTTGTGTTGGTGGTTGTATTGGTGGTTGTGTTGGTGGATGTGTTGGTGGTTGTGTTGGTGGTTGTTGGTGGTTGTGTTGGTGGATGTGTTGGTGGTTGTGTTGGTGGTTGTTGGTGGTTGTGTTGGTGGTTGTGTTGGTGGATGTGTTGGTGGTTGTGTTGGTGGTTGTGTTGGTGGTTGTGGTAGTGCTGGTGGTAGTGTTGGTGGTAGTGTTGGTGGTTGTGGTAGTGTTGGTGGTAGTGTTGGTGGTAGTGTTGGTGGTTGTGGTGGAGATAGATCAAGGGTCCTCGTGTGGATTTCACTCTCACTCTCTCACTCGTGTCTCTTAGTGTCTCTTCAAGTGGTTGTTGTGTGAGAAGGATGTGTAGGAACAGAGGGGAGGGGGGTGGGAACTGCAATGGGGAGGGTGGAATAGTTGGTTTAAACGGTAAACTTAGGCTACCTCTAATCCTACAGATCACCGGTATCAAGGCACCATGTTCCTACTATGAAGGTTTGGCTTCAGTGCTCCTGTGGCTTGGTTGTTAACGCACTTGCCTTACACTGAGTGTTCGTGGTTCAATCCCCGGCACGGGTGGAAACGTTGGGCATGTCACCTTACACCTGCTGTCACTCTTCACCTAGCAGTAAGTAGGTCCCTGGGTGTTAGTTACCTTACACCTGCTGTCACTCTTCACCTAGCAGTAAGTAGGTCCCTGGGTGTTAGTTACCTTACACCTGCTGTCACTCTTCACCTAGCAGTAAGTTGGTACCTGGGTGTTAGTTACCTTACACCTGCTGTCACTCTTCACCTAGCAGTAAGTAGGTCCCTGGGTGTTAGTTACCTTACACCTGCTGTCACTCCTCACCTAGCAGTAAGTAGGTCCCTGGGTGTTAGTTACCTTACACCTGCTGTCACTCTTCACCTAGCAGTAAGTAGGTCCCTGGGTGTTAGTTACCTTACACCTGCTGTCACTCTTCACCTAGCAGTAAGTAGGTCCCTGGGTGTTAGTTACCTTACACCTGCTGTCACTCTTCACCTAGCAGTAAGTTGGTACCTGGGTGTTAGTTACCTTACACCTGCTGTCACTCTTCACCTAGCAGTAAGTAGGTCCCTGGGTGTTAGTTACCTTACACCTGCTGTCACTCCTCACCTAGCAGTAAGTAGGTCCCTGGGTGTTAGTTACCTTACACCTGCTGTCACTCTTCACATAGCAGTAAGTAGGTCCCTGGGTGTTAGTTACCTTACACCTGCTGTCACTCTTCACCTAGCAGTAAGTAGGTCCCTGGGTGTTAGTTACCTTACACCTGCTGTCACTCTTCACCTAGCAGTAAGTAGGTCCCTGGGTGTTAGTTACCTTACACCTGCTGTCACTCTTCACCTAGCAGTAAGTAGGTCCCTGGGTGTTAGTTACCTTACACCTGCTGTCACTCTTCACCTAGCAGTAAGTAGGTCCCTGGGTGTTAGTTACCTTACACCTGCTGTCACTCTTCACCTAGCAGTAAGTAGGTCCCTGGGTGTTAGTTACCTTACACCTGCTGTCACTCCTCACCTAGCAGTAAGTAGGTCCCTGGGTGTTAGTTACCTTACACCTGCTGTCACTCTTCACCTAGCAGTAAGTAGGTCCCTGGGTGTTAGTTACCTTACACCTGCTGTCACTCTTCACCTAGCAGTAAGTAGGTCCCTGGGTGTTAGTTACCTTACACCTGCTGTCACTCTTCACCTAGCAGTAAGTAGGTCCCTGGGTGTTAGTTACCTTACACCTGCTGTCACTCTTCACCTAGCAGTAAGTAGGTCCCTGGGTGTTAGTTACCTTACACCTGCTGTCACTCTTCACCTAGCAGTAAGTAGGTCCCTGGGTGTTAGTTACCTTACACCTGCTGTCACTCCTCACCTAGCAGTAAGTTGGTACCTGAGTGTTAGTTACCTTACACCTGCTGTCACTCTTCACCTAGCAGTAAGTAGGTCCCTGGGTGTTAGTTACCTTACACCTGCTGTCACTCTTCACCTAGCAGTAAGTTGGTACCTGGGTGTTAGTTACCTTACACCTGCTGTCACTCTTCACCTAGCAGTAAGTAGGTCCCTGGGTGTTAGTTACCTTACACCTGCTGTCACTCCTCACCTAGCAGTAAGTTGGTACCTGGGTGTTAGTTACCTTACACCTGCTGTCACTCCTCACCTAGCAGTAAGTTGGTACCTGGGTGTTAGTTACCTTACACCTGCTGTCACTCCTCACCTAGCAGTAAGTAGGTCCCTGGGTGTTAGTTACCTTACACCTGATGTCACTCTTCACCTAGCAGTAAGTAGGTCCATGGGTGTTAGTCACCTGTATACCTGGAGAGGGTTTCGGGGGTCAACGCCCCCGCGGCCCGGTCTGTGACCAGGCCTCGTGGTGGATCAGGGTCTGATCAACCAGGCTGTTACTGTTGGCCACACAGCTGGTCAAGTACTGACTTTAGGTCCCTGTCCTGCACCTTCTTGAAGACACCCAGGGGTCTTGAAGACAACCAGGGGTCTTGAAGACAACCAGGGGTCTTGAAGACAACCAGGGTTCTTGAAGACAACCAGGGGTCATGAAGACAACCAGGGTTCTTGAAGACAACCAGGGGTCTTGAAGACAACCAGGGGTCTTGAAGACAACCAGGGGTCTTGAAGACAACCAGGGGTCTTGAAGACAACCAGGGGTCTTGAAGACAACCAGGGGTCTTGAAGACAACCAGGGGTCTTGAAGACAACCAGGGGTCTTGAAGACAACCAGGGGTCATGAAGACAACCAGGGGTCTTGAAGAGAACCAGGGTTCTTGAAGAGAACCAGGGTTCTTGAAGACAACCAGGGTTCTTGAAGACAACCAGGGTTCTTGAAGACAACCAGGGGTCTTGAAGACAACCAGGGGTCTTGAAGACAACCAGGGTTCTTGAAGACAACCAGGGTTCTTGAAGACAACCAGGGTTCTTGAAGACACCCAGGGGTCTTGAAGACAACCAGGGTTCTTGAAGACAACCAGGGTTCTTGAAGAGAACCAGGGTTCTTGAAGACAACCAGGGTTCTTGAAGACAACCAGGGTTCTTGAAGACAACCAGGGTTCTTGAAGACAACCAGGGGTCTTGAAGACAACCAGGGTTCTTGAAGACAACCAGGGTTCTTGAAGACACCCAGGGGTCTTGAAGACAACCAGGGTTCTTGAAGACAACCAGGGTTCTTGAAGAGAACCAGGGTTCTTGAAGACAACCAGGGTTCTTGAAGACAACCAGGGTTCTTGAAGACAACCAGGGTTCTTGAAGACACCCAGGGGTCTTGAAGACAACCAGGGTTCTTGAAGACAACCAGGGTTCTTGAAGAGAACCAGGGTTCTTGAAGACAACCAGGGTTCTTGAAGACAACCAGGGTTCTTGAAGACAACCAGGGTTCTTGAAGACAACCAGGGTTCTTGAAGACAACCAGGGGTCTTGAAGACAACCAGGGTTCTTGAAGACAACCAGGGGTCTTGAAGACAACCAGGGTTCTTGAAGACAACCAGGGTTCTTGAAGACAACCAGGGTTCTTGAAGACACCCAGGGGTCTTGAAGACAACCAGGGTTCTTGAAGACAACCAGGGTTCTTGAAGAGAACCAGGGTTCTTGAAGACAACCAGGGTTCTTGAAGACAACCAGGGTTCTTGAAGACAACCAGGGTTCTTGAAGACAACCAGGGGTCTTGAAGACAACCAGGGGTCTTGAAGACAACCAGGGTTCTTGAAGACACCCAGGGGTCTTGAAGACAACCAGGGTTCTTGAAGACAACCAGGGTTCTTGAAGAGAACCAGGGTTCTTGAAGACAACCAGGGTTCTTGAAGACAACCAGGGTTCTTGAAGACAACCAGGGTTCTTGAAGACAACCAGGGTTCTTGAAGACAACCAGGGGTCTTGAAGACAACCAGGGTTCTTGAAGACAACCAGGGGTCTTGAAGACAACCAGGGTTCTTGAAGACAACCAGGGTTCTTGAAGACAACTAGGGTTCTTGAAGACACCCAGGGGTCTTGAAGACAACCAGGGTTCTTGAAGACAACCAGGGTTCTTGAAGACACCCAGGGGTCTTGAAGACAACCAGGGGTCTTGAAGACAACCAGGGTTCTTGAAGACAACCAGGGTTCTTGAAGACAACCAGGGTTCTTGAAGACACCCAGGGGTCTTGAAGACAACCAGGGTTCTTGAAGACAACCAGGGTTCTTGAAGACACCCAGGGGTCTTGAAGACAACCAGGGTTCTTGAAGACAACCAGGGTTCTTGAAGACACCCAGGGGTCTTGAAGACAACCAGGGGTCTTGAAGACAACCAGGGTTCTTGAAGACAACCAGGGTTCTTGAAGACAACCAGGGTTCTTGAAGACACCCAGGGGTCTTGAAGACAACCAGGGGTCTTGAAGACAACCAGGGTTCTTGAAGACACCCAGGGGTCTTGAAGACAACCAGGGTTCTTGAAGACACCCAGGGGTCTTGAAGACAACCAGGGGTCTTGAAGACAACCAGGGTTCTTGAAGACACCCAGGGGTCTTGAAGACAACCAGGGTTCTTGAAGACACCCAGGGGTCTTGAAGACAACCAGGGGTCTTGAAGACAACCAGGGGTCATGAAGACAACCAGGAGTCTATTGGTAATCCCCCTTATGTATGCTGGGAGGCTGTTGAACAATCTTGGGCCCCGGACACTTATTGTGTTATCTTTTACCGTGCTACTGTTGTGGGTGGCATCCTGGAGAGCAATATTAAGGTGGCTAACCTCCCTGGGTTAAAAACCCCAACAAAATCTTACCTATATTCCGATGTTATGTTCTCTGGAAGACGAAGTCTGTGATCTTTCCAGGTCTGGGCGAAGAAGATGTCAGCTGCATAGGTCTGTCAACACACAAACACCTCTTAGTTATAACCACAATAATAATTACAATAATTAACCTTCATGGCACCTGTGATAAAACTGCGACACTGAGAATCTTTATTGATAAAACATTTCGCCTTGATGCTGTTTTTTATTGTGTTTAAAACCGCTATAACCTCTTGGTTAATTGGCGATTTAAACGCACCGTTTTGGACCTTATCAAAGTCGCTCATCATTTCTGTCATATTAGGTAAATCGCAAAGCAAAACTGAAGTATTTTTGTTATTGCGGGATCCAGAACCAGACTTCGTTCCGTGTTAACAAATTTACACGAAAGGGGAAATATCCCTAGCACTTATGAATAAAATGTGCTGAGTTTTTAAACAGGTAAATACCCTGTGGGACGAGTGGCACCCTGTGAGGAGATTGCCATACCTCCCAATGAAGCTTTTATCTCAAGGTACCAACCACTGTGTTCAAGGAGGGAGTAGATTGCTATCTTGGGCTGTCAGCTAGTAGTCTGAGGTCAGTAAGACGAAAAGGAACATCAGTTGAACTTCAGTTGACTTGAGGCGAGAGGGAGATAGACAGCAGTCAGCCCATCTATCATGTAGGAGGAGCCACATGTCTTTCATGCAGGAGGAACCATATGTCTATCATGCAGGAGAAGCCCAATGGCATGCAGAGGTGGGGCCGAAGGGGCGGTGGCACTTGGCATCCAATTAGAGAGGGAAATAAGACAGTGATTTTGAAATTTCAGCGGTGATCAATTTTTGGAGGCTTACTGCACTACAGAGGCAGTGGTTAGCTCTTTATTCCTCTAACTTGAGTTACCCTTTCTGTTCAGAGAATGGTGCTCCCCAAACCGAAGATGGACAAGAGAGAAATTAAAAAAGGAATGTTCAAACTTTGCAAATTATTATGATAATGATGTGGCAGCCGTTCAGTTATATGACGAAATTATTGATTTTGTGATGGTCCTTCGAGCCGGAGGGAATAGAATTCCTCCTGATCCTAAAGATTCTCTGTAGTCTTTACTGCAGTATGAGAGGGATGTCTTTCCTACCCTGTGTTTCACACAATTGCATTTTCAGTCGCAAGCTGTGAAAGGTCATTTTCAAAACTGAAATTAATAAAAACATATTTGAGGCCTTCAATGTCACAGGAGCGGCTGACCAACCTGGATTTAATAAGCATTGATAAAGAATTTCTCACAGCTGATGTAAACAGTGAACTTGAAGATTGAGACACTTATGCAACATATGGGAATCTCTATTGAAGAAACGTTTCGCCACACAGTGACTTCATCAGTCCAGTACAAATCAGAAGGGTGTAAGGAGAGGGGAATTCTGAGGTAATCAATCCCTCAGCCTGTAGTCGATGTGTTCAGTCCATCAATCTTGTAGAAAGTACAGCATAGGGCCGTAGAAGTGGCTTATATACTGTAGTGAGGTGAGGTGAAGCAGTAGGAGACGGGGTCATAGTGGTACCATCCACTTAATAAATTTGGTTGACATATTTAAATCGAATAAAGTGTTTATTTCGTGTTTCATCTGTGTTTACATATTCAAAATATATCCCTTTCTCGTAATATTTCTCAGTACTAGGCCTTATACTTAAGTCTTTGGGGCATACAATCAAGAAAAGATGACCCCGGGCATCACCAGACCTCTGCACGCCACTGGAGGAGCCATATGTCGATGGTGCATCAGAGAAAGTCGTCCGACTCTTGGATGTCACTATTGCCGGGCTCCGGCTGGGTGACAAATACCTCTGCGAGGCTGATCACTAGTAGATATAGACCTAACTAAATGTAAACTTGGCCAGATGGACTATTGTCACATGTTATGTGCTGGAATGCGTCACACCTTGCGTCATTACCTGGAGACCTGGAGTTTACCTGGAGGGAGTTCCGGGGGTCAACGCCCCCGCGGCCCGGTCTGTGACCAGGCCTCATGGTGGAACAGGGCCTGATCAACCAGGCTGTTACGCTGGCTGCACGCAATCCAACATACGGGCCACAGTCCGGCTGGTCAGGAACCGACTTTAGGTGCTTGTCCAGTGCCAGCTTGAAGACTGCCAGGGGTCTATTGCTAATCCCCCTTATGTATGCTGGGAGGCAGTTGAACAGTCTTGGGCCCCTGACACTTATTGTGTTGTCTCTTAGCGTGCTAGTGACACCCCTGCTTGGCATCCCTAGTTTTGAAGGTTCTCATTATCCATCCTGTCATTTTTCTAGCAGATGCGATTGATACAATGTTATGGTCCTTGAAGGTGAGATCCTCCGACATGTTCACTCCCAGGTCTTTGACGTTAGTTTTTTGCTCTATTGTGTGGCTGGAATTTGTTTTATACACTAAGATTTTTCAAGTGTATATAATCATGTATCTCTCCCGCCTGCGTTCTAGGGAGTACAGGTTGAGGAACTTCAAGCGTTCCCCGTAATCTTTTGACTATCGCCCACAGGATGGGTATGGGGTGCATAATAAACATATTAAACTACCTAGAACTTACCATGGAGTTCTCGTTAATGGAGTCGATACCCATCACGGTGACGTGGAAATAGACAGTGGTGGGTTTACCGTCTTTTTTGGGTGGCCTCATCTTGTCGTAGTTAAATTTGTCCAGAGGCATGATGTCGTCTATGGTAAACCCCTTGTTGTCCTCCATGCTGGTGGTTGAGTAGGTTGTTAGTGGTGGGAATGGAGGTGTAAGGGGTGAGGATGGTATGGTGAGTGGTGGTGATTGATGGTTGTGGAGAGGGGAAGGGTGTGGTGAGTTGTGATAGTGGTTGTAGTGAAGTGTGTGATGATAATGGTAGTGTAGGTTACAGATGGGAATGGTAGTTCATTATAGGTGGTGATGGTAGTTCAGTATGGTACACATGTACAACTAACGTGACATAATTAGAAGCTTCGTCAAGCCGCAATTCTGCCAATATTATTACCACCTCATTAATGTTCCCTGGGTCACACATGTCCTGGGAAATGTGAGGTTATTTAGTTGTGAGCCATAGAAAGACAATAATTCCCACTACATACACACATACAGGGAAGAAAATAGGGCGTACTAGGCTACAAGTTAATCTGGGAAGGGACAAGTTGAAAAGGCGGTGCCGGGAACCGAGAATCAACCCCTGCAACCGCAAATAGGTAATTCCAAATAAGTGAGGACACAGATACTCACCCCTGGGCATAAGAAGACATCAATAACAGGAGAGCCAGTGTGATGGTGGCACTGGGGGAGGTCCACGAGTCGAGTACACCATTCATCCTCTCTCAACACACACTGAAACACATTAATGTCTATATTGCCTCGTTACTATTATTATTATTATTATTATTATTATTATTATTATTATTATTAGTATTACAGGTAGTATTAGTAGTTTACCTGGAGAGAGTTCCGGGGGTCAACGCCCCCGCGGCCCGGTCTGTGACCAGGCCTCCTGGTGGATCAGAGCCTGATCAACCAGGCTGTTGCTGCTGGCTGCACGCAAACCAACGTACGAGCCACAGCCCGGCTGGTCAGGAACCGACTTTAGGTGCTCGTCCAGTGCCAGCTTGAAGACTGCCAGGGGTCTGTTGGTAATCCCCCTTATGTATGCTGGGAGGCAGTTGAACAGTCTCGGGCCCCTGACACTTATTGTATGGTCTCTTAACGTGCTAGTGACACCCCTGCTTTTCATTGGGGGGATGTTGCATCGTCTGCCAAGTCTTTTGCTTTCGTAGTGAGTGATTTTCGTGTGCAAGTTCGGTACTAGTCCCTCTAGGATTTTCCAGGTGTATATAATCATGTATCTCTCCCTCCTGCGTTCCAGGGAATACAGGTTTAGGAACCTCAAGCGCTCCCAATAATTGAGGTGTTTTATCTCCGTTATGCGCGCCGTGAAGGTTCTCTGTACATTTTCTAGGTCAGCAATTTCACCTGCCATGAGAGGTGGTGTTAGTGTGTAGTAGTAGTAGTGGTAGTATCATGGGGTGTGTGGTGCCTTTATACTTTTGCTGTATTTCGAGAGTTTTCCTACTCCCGCAGGCTGGTCCAGGACCAGGCTTGTCTGATGCTTGCCTGGTCAACCAGGCTGTTGCTACTGCTGGCCCACAGGCCTGTAAATCCCTCACAGCCTGGTTGATCTGGCACCCGGTGAAGATACTTGTCCGGTTTACTCTTGAAGACTTGTACACTTGTTCCAGCAGGCTGTTGATCTGGCACCTGGTGAAGATACTTGTCCAGTTTACTCTTGAAGACTTGTACACTTGTTCCAGCAGGCTGTTGATCTGGCACCTGGTGAAGATACTTGTCCAGTTTACTCTTGAAGACTTGTACACTTGTTCCAGCAGTGTTTCTGATATCTTCTGGTAAGATGTTGAATAAAACATACCACGGGGTGGGGATAGAACCCGCGATCAAAGAGTCTCAAAAATCCAGACCGTCGCGTTAGCCACTGGACCAGCTAGCCACAATAAGATTCATCCAACTAGGTATATTTCTACACCATAGGAAGGTTAGCATAGGCCACTATTGTGGCTAGCTGCTCCAGTGGCTAACGCGACGGTCTGGAGTTTAGAGACTCTCTGATCGCGAGTTCTATCCACACCCGTGGTGTGGTTTGTTTGCAATCGTGTCATTACGATTTCGTGAGTCAAGATGTTGAATAATCTGGGGCACCGAATGTAAACCCTGGGGTTAAATTATTGGTATCAAGACCCCTTCCCGGCATCAAAGCACCTTAAAGGGAATACTGAGAAAAATCTCTCTGGGGGAAAAGTTAATGGTAGAGCATGTTAGGTTAGGTTAGGTTAGGTTAGGTTAGGTTAGTTTAGGTTAGGTTAGTTTAGGTTAAGCTAGTTGTCGCAGCTCATCAAGCATTAAATATGTACCTAGGAGGTAGCTGACAGTTTTGAGTGGCACTCTGACAGTTTTGAGTGGCACTCTGGGTAAGGTGAAAAATATAAACTATCCTCGAATCCTCCAACAATATAATCATGGAGAAGCGCTAAACTCCTGGGGGTCCAGCACCCAGTAAATGGGTGTTAATCAAGTTTGTGACCTGTATAAGTCACATCTGGGGTATGGGAAGTAATCGAATTTAACCTGAGGAAGTTAAAGGTAGCTCTAACTCCTTTGATCAAGATCTCTTCACTAGCATCAACACCCCCTCTTCCCTTGCAGGGACACTCATCAATAGATGAGAGTAGAGAGCACATAGGTGTCAATAATCAAGGAACATTACCATGATGGTGATCCTTGAGGGCAGAGAGTGCAACAGACAGTGGTAGTGGGTGAACACTGGTATGTCTGGCTGTCAGCGGTCTGAATCCCTAACTTAAGATAAGATAAGATTTCGTTCGGATTTTTAACCCCGGAGGGTTAGCCACCCAGGATAACCCAAGAAAGTCAGTGCGTCATCGAGGACTGTCTAACTTATTTCCATTGGGGTCCTTAATCTTGTCCCCCAGGATGCGACCCACACCAGTCCACTAACACCCAGGTACCTATTTGCTGCTAGGTGAACAGGACAACAGGTGTAAGGAAACGTGTCGAAATGTTTCCACCCGCCGGGAATCGAACCCGGGCCCTCCGTGTGTGAAGCGAGAGCTTTAGCCACCAGGCCACCGGGCCACCAGGCCACCGGGCCACTTAAACCTCATAAACATTATATCATTACTGCTGTGACACGTGTATAGTGTAATTAGACATATCGTAATGTTTTTTATATAAATCCATATGTATTCCTGTTAACCCTTTGGAGCCTAGTTCCTAGGCCTTTTGTGGCCTTTTGTGTATCCATATGCTCTCGCGCTACCGTCCACAGGATGGATATGGGGTGCACAATAAACTAGCCACTTCCGTGGCAAAATCTAATCTATTGAATTCCTGAATTGCCTAAGTTTAAACTAAGATATTTATGATAGAGTGAATATCATGGTTGATTTTCACGTAATAAAAAAAGGACAGCCTAAGCAGAATTAATTGTGTCAGTAAGTAATGGATGTAAGTCAAAACAATGGGATAGTCAGCTGTTGATACTGGTTACTTGATACTGGTTACTTGATACTGGTTACTTGATACTGGTTACTTGATACTGGTTACTTGATACTGGTTACTTGATACTGGTTACTTGATACTGGTTACTTGATACTGGTTACTTGATACTGGTTACTTGATACTGGTTACTTGATACTGGTTACTTGGTACTGGTTACTTGATACTGGTTACATGATACTGGTTACTTGATACTGGTTACTTGATACTGGTTACTTGATACTGGTTACTTGATACTGGTTACTTGATACTGGTTACTTGATACTGGTTACATGATACTGGTTAATTGATACTGGTTACTTGATACTGGTTACATGATACTGGTTACTTGATACTGGTTACTTGATACTGGTTACTTGATACTGGTTACTTGATACTGGTTACTTGATACTGGTTACTTGATACTGGTTACTTGATACTGGTTACTTGATACTGGTTACATGATACTGGTTACTTGATACTGGTTACTTGATACTGGTTACTTGATACTGGTTACTTGATACTGGTTACTTGATACTGGTTACTTGATGCTGGTTACTTGATGCTGGTTACTTGATGCTGGTTACTTGATACTGGTTACTTGATACTGTTACTTGATACTGGTTACTTGATACTGGTTACTTGATACTGGTTACTTGATACTGGTTACTTGATACTGGTTACTTGATACTGGTTACTTGATACTGGTTATTTTGATACTGGTTACTTGATACTGGTTACTTGATACTGGTTACTTGATACTGGTTACTTGATACTGGTTACATGATACTGGTTACTTGATACTGGTTACTTGAATACTGGTTACATGATACTGGTTACTTGATACTGGTTACTTGATACTGGTTACTTGATACTGGTTACTTGATACTGGTTACTTGATACTGGTTACTTGATACTGGTTACTTGATACTGGTTACATGATACTGGTTACTTGATACTGGTTACTTGATACTGGTTACTTGATGCTGGTTACTTGATGCTGGTTACTTGATGCTGGTTACTTGATACTGGTTACTTGATACTGGTTACTTGATACTGGTTACTTGATACTGGTTACTTGATACTGGTTACTTGATACTGGTTACTTGATACTGGTTACTTGATGCTGGTTACTTGATGCTGGTTACTTGATGCTGGTTACTTGATACTGGTTACTGATACTGGTTACTTGATACTGGTTACTTGATACTGGTTACTTGATACTGGTTACTTGATATTGGTTACTTGATACTGGTTACTTGATACTGGTTACTTGATACTGGTTACTTGATACTGGTTACTTGATACTGGTTACTTGATATTGGTTACTTGATACTGGTTACTTGATACTGGTTACTTGATACTGGTTACTTGATATTGGTTACTTGATACTGGTTACTTGATACTGGTTACTTGATACTGGTTACTTGATACTGGTTACTTGATACTGGTTACTTGCTACTGGTTACTTGATGCTGGTTACTTGATACTGGTTACTTGATACTGGTTACTTGATATTGGTTACTTGATACTAGTTACTTGATATTGGTTACTTGATACTGGTTACTTGATATTGGTTACTTGATACTGGTTACTTGCTACTGGTTACTTGATACTGGTTACTTGATACTGGTTACTTGATACTGGTTACTTGATACTGGTTACTTGATACTGGTTACTTGATACTGGTTACTTGATGCTGGTTACTTGCTACTGGTTACTTGATACTGGTTACTTGATATTGGTTACTTGATACTGGTTACTTGCTACTGGTTACTTGATGCTGGTTACTTGCTACTGGTTACTTGATGCTGGTTACTTGATACTGGTTACTTGATACTGGTTACTTGATATTGGTTACTTGATACTGGTTACTTGATATTGGTTACTTGATACTGGTTACTTGATATTGGTTACTTGATACGGGTTTTATTGCTACTGGTTACTTGATACTGGTTACTTGATACTGGTTACTTGATACTGGTTACTTGATACTGGTTACTTGATACTGGTTACTTGATACTGGTTACTTGATACTGGTTACTTGATGCTGGTTTTACTTGCTACTGGTTACTTGATACTGGTTACTTGATACTGGTTATTTTGATGCTGGTACTTGCTACTGGTTACTGATACTGGTTACTTGATACTGGTTACTTGATGCTGGTTACTTGCTACTGGTTACTTGCTACTGGTTACTTGATACTGGTTACTTGATACTGGTTACTTGCTACTGGTTACTTGCTACTGGTTACTTGATACTG